CGACTTTCCAAAGACAAACAGCGAGAACCTGACGCAGATCTGCAAGTATACGCTCTATTGAAACCAGTACTGGAAGAGCAAACTGGACACAAAGTTCAGACGTTCTCGGTGTGGTAAACGCACTTCTCATATGTAGAGAATACTCGCAAGCCCATGCCTTTATCTCTGATCTCCGTGGCCGAGTTTGATGATGAAGGAAATCGTTCAGCCAGCGTAATTGTTTATTGTCAGTCGGTAGCTGCGCGATCGAGGTTAAGAGCCTGCGGAGCACCGAGTCGCCACCAGCTGCAGTTCGCCAAACCCTTTCGTCGGTTGCAGTGCGTAGCATGGAAGTCGAGCGCGGGCTATGTTACCAGGTATCTTATCCCAAAACAAGAGAAGCTGTTGTTCCATGGTGTTGTGCTAATTAGCGAGCATCCGCGACCGTTGTCACGTATTCAACTATAATTTCGACTAAATGTGCTTGCTGAATGTGTCCACTGCTCTTAAAATGTTTATGATAAATTATGTAGCTCAGAATAGACCGAAATGTCAATTAAATTGTAAGTACTCTTTGTAGGTGTAAGTACGAGAACGTGTGGTGTTACTCATAAATGTGAGGTGTGAAAAGTCTAGGCCCTCTCCATGTCTTTTACACTCTTGATGTTCATGACCGAGCACAATAATTAACTGTCTACGAATAAAAGACTGAAAGTGATTAGTTAACCTGCGCCCTGGTGGGGTCTACTGAAAATGATTGTTAACCCGCGACCTGGTGGGGGGGGGGGGTATTTTTGTCCCCCCCTCGTATCTCCGAAACTACTGGACGGATCCGCAAAATTCAAACGGCGTTCGAAAGCCCTGTCGAATTTGTCGAATTTGTCGAATTCGCACGTGCAAGACTCACCCCCTCGCTCGCTCCGTTAGTCGCCCCAAAAGGCGCAATACTGGTATTTAAGTTTCGAATTAACACCTTTTACATCGACGTATGTATCTGTTTATTGCAAATTCGATACGAAAGTTGGAAAGACGACTGCATCAATCAACGATTTTAGCAATGTTCCCGAGTCTTCGCTTATTCGAGCTGTGTTCGTGTGCTCAGTTTTTGACCAGTATCGGTCAGATTTGGGACTGCGTATTTCAACACCGACAAAATCGCCCCCTCCCAGAACAGTCATCAGAGTGTTGTGCAGTGTGGAGTGGGCAGTGCGCAGCCAGGGCTTACACACTGATCCAGCAATACCGCTTGACCGATTAAACAGCCACAAAGTAGTAACATGAACTACCTCAGCCCTGCGATGAAACAGCCACAAAGCAATAACATGACCACTGACCAGCGAACAAAACCAAACTATGTTCGGCACTCGCTTACCGCTGCTTAAAGCCATGGTTAATAGGTTAAACCGTTTGACCAACTTTGACAAGGGTTATCGCCGCACCGGTCAGCGAGGCCATAAAATTGCATATAAGATGAGTGCACCGGTACGCAGCTAAACCTTGGCCATTACCAGCACAATTACTGGGGAGCATTTGCCGGACACGATTCAAAAGTTACAATGGAAGGATGTCAAATAAATCCAGAAGAAAAACACTTAAAATGCATGTCAAATAAATACTATTGCTAGAGCCCTCTAAGGTTACTAGAACCAGTACAGAAGGTGCGGCAGGTTCTAGTTACATCTGAGCAGAAGGTGTCTGATAATGTCCGTCCATAATAGAGGACATGCTATTCGCAAACCCGAGTCACGTGGAATGAACCCGACGACAAATAAACGGGAAACACCTGCAAAGCTACGTTTTATGCGTTCGTTGGCTATAACTTACATCATGCACGCTATCGACATCCACACAGCAATAGCAGTGAAGCGATCTAGATCCTCCTTACTGATCTTCGACTTTCGACTGATACTGAATTCTTTAAAATACAAGTAACGAGCATCAAGCGGCATTCGCACTGTAATGTTAGTAATAAGTATAAAAAAGATTTACATGAAACATGCATTCCAGAGCATGAACCGATGGCCACTTCCATTGTAGGATGCCTATTGCCTGACCATTCGAATACAGCGCAACAATACCGCTGATGGGTGAATGCTACACTTTGATCGTAAAATTTAGGCATGCGGCTAGCTCTTTTGTTCAAAATGGCAGGTAGAGCGTCGTCATGCTGAAGGAAATAAAGTCTCAGAATAAGAAATAATAAACTGCATGCAACTTCTTATTGTACAACAGAGCAGAATGCGCAAGTTCACGGTATAATTATTGTACTAAATGGCGTAAACATTGGACATAACGTCCACTCATTGACGTGTGATGCACAATGCACAATACCAGTGCCACGGCCAGTACAATAAGGAAAAATCTTCGACGTCCCAGAGACGATTGGCTTGGACGCAAATACCAATAAAAATATTAAATTTGATTTTTACATACCGACTTCTGCGCCCTAGGAACGGGCATTTTTTTTTAGCACACCGCAGTAGCTTGCCAGCCAGTTACCTCATTGTAACTTTCCATTAGCGGTTCAGGGCTAGTAACAGGGCGGGGAGGAGCTATTGAGGAGCACACGTGTTCAATCTTTCAGGGGAGGGGGGGGGGGAGTAAGACCATTTGACTCGCTCGAAGTCGCCACCGATCGTTACAGTAAGTAGCCAAACGGCCTGTAAGCTAATTACCAGGCCATGGAGCATATAGTTACGTGGCTGTTGCAGGAGCTCTGTCTTTTGATACGGCCAGCATGTCATCACATGATGCTTCGACCGTCTAGCATGAGTGGTTATTACAGATTACTGGCACATTTTTTTTATATTGGAGTTTTCTTAATTACACAAAGCAAGTTATAGGTACATCAGACCAGTATGGTAGGTGGAAGCCCATCAACTAGCATGGACGGCGACACAAGTATGGCGCTAGATCTGGGTCAGACATAATGTCGCGATCTTCGGTAACAGTATAATTTTCTTTCATTTCATTGAATATTTGCCTATATCTTTGCAACGAATTGGACAATGATCTTCCTTTTCTCTCTGAGGACTGCGATTTTCCTACCTCCGTCACATCAATAGAAAGCAATTCTAACAACAGATCAGAGCTCTGCGATTGAGGCGATTCGGGAGATATGTACTGCTCTGGCTCAGAGGCTACTTCTGGAGCTTGCTGTTCGAAACGAGACACATACACATCACCATCGCCACAATCATCAGCTGCCGGGGCCAGTAAAACGGATGCAGCGTTGCCACGAACAACGGCCAATGACAACCGCTGCCACAGCCATGCCTGCTCCCGACGGTCCCCGGTGTTTGCGGCCATGCGCGCACCCAATTCCTTCACAAAGGCTCTGGTCGAGGGACCACAGGCACCTGTCGTCTCAAATGCCACTGGTTGGAACATATAACGTGTGGTAAACTTCTCGTATTTGCGACATTTGCGCGTTTCAGCGTCCTTAGCTGCAGCGCCGGCTGAGGTGGCGGCTGACGGGAGGTGAGATTCTGCAAACGTATTAACGCAAGTTGCGTCCCAAATCATTGCCTTCCCTTCAGCGAATGGGAACACCGTCATGCCATCGGGCCTTTTGCCGTCGCCGCGGTCGATGCCGGTTGGCTCTAGAATCGCTGGAATGCAAGCGGTCTGCAGAGCGCGCCTGACCACATCGTTGAGTGCAGTATGGCGGGGGTGACGTCCCGCACTCAGACGACAGGTCAGGGCATGATGACCTCTGCTGTCCGCTCGCGCTCCACATCGGCACTGGTGGGGCTGGCAAACATCGGCTCCCACACGCAGGGCAACAGCGATGCGGAGCGTCTCGGGGTCCAGTAGCGTGCCGAGGGCTGCAGAGGGGACGGCATGCAGCCAGGAGCCGCTCTCCGGCACAGCTGCGGATAGGAGTCTGGCTTGATCCAACTGGTTCCCGGAGGACAGCAGTGACTTCTGAGTCTGTTCTGCCAGCACAGAATCCCATGCGCGTTGGCTGCAAACAGCGTCACCAGTTGGAGGAGCTGCGTTGTCGGCTGCACGGATCCAGGCGTTAACGGTTTGGTCACGTTCCTTGGCCATGCTGGTATGGAGCTCTCCTGGCAGTATTGTTGTCAACAACGGCAAGCAGTGATTCAAGGAGGCAGCGAAGCTGGGCAGCGCGAGGTCTTGTGCGCGTCGTAGGCCCAGGCCGCCAAACCTAGTCGGTAAGCTAGCCTGTTTCCAGGTCTTGTCGTCGAAGTGAACGTTAGTGATGGTTGATGTTGTCACCCTCAATTTTTCGTCCAGTGGTTTTAGCAGTTCCAGTTGGCGGTAAAAGGGGGATACGCGCAGCAAATATTGCAACTTGGGCATCCAAATGCAGTTTCTTAACAGAAATAGAGCAGAATGACTGTCAATGTATTGTAGACGACCGGCCATTCTGTCAAATTCCTCGTACTTCTTGGTAATGACGGCTTCAGCAGCTTCGTCAGTCACAGGCGCTCCTAGCATTATGGCCTCTGATTCTTCTGTGACTGTCGCACCTGGGATGAGCCGGTGTAATTGAAAAACATTACCTTCGCGCTTCTTCTTCGAACATGCCCTCGGTAGGATGATCTCACATTTATTGGGGTTCACATCAAGACCAACCCGAGCCAAGGCAGGGATCACACGCTCCAAATCTTGGCAAACCGTTTCGATGTCACCTCCGATAACCGCATCGTCCAAGTACCATATGTTAAATGGAGACACCACTTCCTTTGACGCTGCTTGCACAGCAAGGGAGAAAGACGTTCAGCTGGCACATTGGGTTATGGCCTGCTCTAAACCTTTGACATTTAAAAATAAATATGAAACTTTGCATGCGAGTGATTAGTGAAAGTTCTTCGGATATTCATTTCGGGGTTTGCTTTTTATTTGTTTATACTTGTGTTTACTAGGGCACTGTGCTGTCTGTGCCCCACTGAGTGGGGCTGTCACTCTCTCACTGGCCCCTTCCATGAGCTCATTCTGGTAATTTAAACGTCACGTCCACTCTCAACCATCAGAGTTTACTCAAAACAGCGGCACACTATTTATCTGGCTTTATTCCCTCGCGTTTGGATTAAATTGTCACAAAGCGGTCATCTAGCCATTCATCCTTTTCACGAAATGTTTTGAAATTCGTTTAGGTTACATCGTCACTGTACAAGTTACAGACCTCACTGCTTCAATCCCGCAATATCGCACTTAAGTCCTATTTTAGGTTAAATCAACCTATAGAGTCCCCCGTCTTACATTCTCACAAGATCGCGCTTCAATCTTCGTTTAGATCATATTGTCATACAGTGTCCCAGTTGTTCAATCCCACTCGCGCCCCACATTCTCACACTCTTTCACGCGATAACCGACCGAAGGCCATAGAGCACAGTCCCCCGCCGGTCATGGTTTACATGCGACCGCTGCACGCCGTTTGATGTTGCACCTTCCGTTGATACTTGCCAAGCTGGCACTCCTGCGAGCACCGTCGGTTCGATCCCCAGTGTAGGCGAGTCTTCCTAGGCCCAGTGATCGGACTCTGACTCTGGTCAGACTGTCAGACTAAAGCCTTCGATCGGGAGACTGCACACCACACACACAGCGAACTGCTCATGACTGCAGACGCCCTGAACACCAGCAACAGCCAACACCCGAGCGGCAGGCCAGTCCTCACAGACGTTCAGCTTTCGACGGCAAACACAACCACCACGTCGTCTCTGAACACGCCATGAACTCGAGAAAGTCCTAATCAAGGCCCGCGTGCGCGTATAAGGGAATCAACACAATGCGGCAGTCCTATCTGATTCTGTGAGCCAAATATCAACGGTAAGACAATACTTAGTAACGAGAGAAGAGCGAGAGCACTCAGACACTAGTACACCGTCAGCCCCTACATAACGCGTGATCACCAGACGACACAGCAAAGATTCACAGGAGCCGTGTCAGCACTTCTATAAGCGGTGCAAGCAGTGAACTTATTTAATGGTTATGTTAAATGGCCGCGTGCAGGGCGAAACGACGCTCAGCAGTCGCGAAGAAGACCCCCACCGAATAACACTGCATCGCACGACTCAGTTTCAACAAACCGGGATCACACACTGCCTGTGCTCAGCCACCTGCGTTCGCGGCTGGCCGGTCGGGACTCCCTCACACGTGCCACGGGCCCGGGTGCGCCTCTCGCACTGTTCGCCTCTTCCCTGCCATCTATCGGTCATGACAAGAACTCGTCTCTCTCGGCCTTAGGCCGGGGGCCCGGTGCATATAACGCCTGTCTCCTCTATGTTTGCTGAGAAACATAGAGCAGGTCGCGAGCCGCGCCAAGTTTGATGTCTTCGTGAAGAGAAGGCAGAAATTGCTAATCACACACATCACCGGAGCGCCACAGTCGTACAGCGGCCAAGCGCACAGGTTGAGGTTAACCGTATCCTCACTAGATGGCAGCACCCACCTCTGGACCGTGCACGGCGACGGCTGGCCAGACTGCATAGCGCTGAAGTAAAGAAGCCGATACAGAGACGTGGCTGTTCGAGTACATATCTGCAACACGAGAGAGTTGTTAGGGTGGATTTCAAATAATAATAAGACAGTCCTAAATTTTGAGACTAGCCCACTAACCCAAGCCAATCTTTATCTACATATGTATTTCTCTGACCTAGGGATAATGCAACATTTAGGTACCTACCTATAGTAACTACCCAGATTCGTCCTCTATCCTAAGAAAACCCGTCCCCATTCTCACAGAACCTCTGCCGAGCCGACAGTCCTCCCATCGGACAGCAGACGGATGGCGGGTCTCAAAGGAGCAGACCGGTACTCCCCCGAGTGACCTGAGTGACAAATTGGGACGCTCCCGTCCCTACGGGATGGATTCAGCCACTGCGGCGCAGCAGTCGGTGGCCTATTCAGCACTATGTCTCTCGTGTCCTCTCATTTCATAGCCCTGAGGGCTCAATAGACCAAAAGGGCCTAACCCAGCCAAACAAAAAATGGTATGCTTTTGGAAAATGTAGAATTGGTTTCCTCTCGGCTTTTAGCGACATTAAGAGCAATGCTTCTTTTGAAAACAGAACAATAATATTTTCCGCGTAAACATTTAATCCCTTCACAGGCAGCACACTTGTGAACAGAATTTTACACCACCATTACAAATGAGACATCAAATGGCATATCCCAACGTTCTGTGAGCTCCGACAAAACCAGTCTAATAAATCTAGCTGCACGGTGTACATATGTCTGTCGCATAACGGTATTACGTTCCAAGCTGTAATCAGCAGACAGTAGGAGTGACAAAATTCCACTCATGCCTATGAGTTTTCAGGGAGCGGTATCATCCCACTCTGATAACGATACCGGCTACAATTCACAAAGTTTCAGTAAATGCACACGATACACCATACTCTCAACGCCAACACCCAGTGGTCTAAGTGCAGTGGGCCATCAACCGATGTTGTGGGCCGAGGGCGGCGACTCACGCGTTGGAATAAAGCACTCTGCGGGGCGTCGGTCGGGGCGCCGGGGCGCCGCCTACGACGCCCAGGCGGCCAGCTCCGCCATGTCGTCCTCGTCCTCCTCCTTCTTGGCCTTGGCACCTGTCGAGAAAGGGGAGGGGGGGGGGGGGTCAGTATAGATGTCGGCACGGGGTCAGAGGTCGTAGAGATAACGTGGAACCACAAGCCACAGTGACAATGATGAAAGACGGGGACAAGTGTAGAATAACAAGACATGACATTAAAATAACACGGGTATAGGAGCGAGTCGTGTATAATAATAAATTACAAATCTGAAAACGGATACATGACAAAACAACATAAATAAGAAGCTTAAGTTATGTTCTCAGAGCAGTGTCATTTGACTGCCATCATACATTAAGGGGTCGGGGAACAAATGTTACAGGTTCGTAACCTGTCATGTGTGATGGATCCATCGACTCCGTATACCACAACACATTCTTGCAACGCATTGTTGCGAACACAGCGAACTTTGAGCAATAAATTCACGTAAGGAACGAAGGAAAACCCCTAATGTTGCGATTACGAGGTTCGCTGGCCACGCAGCGGCAGCGGGTCGAAGTTTTCACCTTTGTTTATCTCTGTGCTGTCGTTACCTGGGCGGTTTCTATGGCAACCGACTGTGGTTGGAACGAAGCCAAAGGTCACCACGAAGGCTCCAGACGACGGAACAAACGGATAAACGGAGAGTGTCGCCGTGTCAAAGGTCGCTGATAGGTCACGGGGTCTGGCCAGCCACGCGCCTCCGTGACCCGACCCGACCTCTAGGGACCAGGCGTCCGGTGACATATTGCCACACAGTGGCGTGGGACTCGCAGAGAGCCATTCGGCGTGAGATGAGAGCTTCCTTCCTGAGCGTCAGCTCGTGGGATTGAAGCCCTCAGACCTCACAATCTTCGATCCCTCTCCACGGTCCTAGCTCTCATCAATTTAGCGAAGCGCATTGAAGAGAACTTATTATGCCAATATCTTTCCTTCTCTCATTCCAATGCCACCCCACCAGCACGCTCCCACGCACACCCGTGGGTGTTCCCCGGCCCGGCTGACCGCCCGCTTCTCCCGGACCGAGCCAGTGGCGGTGCGGACGTCCTGGAGCAGAGACGACCCTCAGCGGACGGCATCCGACCAGGGACGACCCTCACGGGACAGCCTCCGGCCAGGGACGAGCCGCTGCCTGATGAAGCTGTCGGATCGAGGAGCCACCGGTCGTGTCCAACCAGGGCAGGAGATGGAAGGGAGAGAAATGGCACGTGTGATGACAGGGGGATACTTGTGGACATATACAACGGCTATCAGTAAACACAGCAGTACAGCGGTAAAGGGGCATTCCACGTCAAGTGAGACAAAAAATGACCATTTTGAACCTCACCTCCTCCGATTTTTGCGAAACTTTGTGGAACTACTCATCTATATGTGAAAAGAAAGGAGACATGTTTTTGTCAAGATATGACGTCACGTTTCCGAGATACACGTCATCAAACATTGACCTAGGCAAGGCACATTATCATCTTTAAAGCGTCATAACCATTGAAGTTTTAGACATATCACCATGAGACAAAGTGTGAAATGGAGGGAATAGATCAGGCTTTAATTTGAGGATAACAATATTGACATAATTAGCTAATTAATGAACTAAATTAAAATTCAAAAAATAAATTTTGATTTTCTGAAAAATGGGTACCCTTCGATTTTGCTGATTTTTACATATTTCATCCTCCCATACATTAGCTACATCATATAAAAAATCCAGAATGGGCCGACGTCTACGTAACTGCCTTTTGGACTTCGGAATGTCTGGCACTCGCGAGTTTCGTTTTAGCAACCAAGGAGAGGCGCTACCCGGAGATGCTTCTTTCTGCCCCAAACCAAAGCAAACCTAGCCTGACCTGACGTGACCTGACCTAATCTAACATGCGTAAATATGTACAGCCCTCACGGCAGTTGCCGACTGGCCAAATGCTACTTAGATACGAACATTAGCCCTCACGACATTTGCCGGCTGGCCAGATGCTACTTAAAAAACGAATGCGTGTTTAAACACTTGAGGCTAACCGGCCACGAGCCAGCCACCTTTAGATTACGAGGTGGGTACACTCGGCACACTAACTACTAAGCCACGGAGATAGCTGGTCATCGCGGAGATGTAAGCCAGTTTTTTTAATGATGCAATTGGGCATTCTCCGGGCAGCGCCTCTCTTTGGTTGCAAAAAGGAAATACGCCTGACTCTCCCAGCGCTAGGGGAGAAAGGCCCGGTTTAGCCAAAAAAGGTATAAAAAACGGAATTTGAATTGTAGGTGGGGCGGTGGGGAACTTTATCGTGTGCCAATTTCATGGCCCTAGATCAATATCTTCAAGATCAAATGAGGTTAATCGTGATGAAATTTGCTATGGTGACTATTTTGCGTTTATACGCCCATAGCTCTATGAGTTACTGGCCGATTTTCCTATTTCTTCCTTTTTACGACATTTGTAGTGTTATGAGAATCTTTAGATAATCTAACCATAAATTTGGCAGTTAGTGGCCTGCTAAGAGTAAGATGTCGCCGGCAAAGGCGCGGGGATCGGCCGACGCGGGAAACGTTTCAGTCACAGATTGTGTTTGCACCCTAATAATTCAATTTTTACCAGTTGGTTTTCGTATTTATTTGACCATTAGTTTGCCTGTACATTTTTAAGCCTTCACACAAAATTTGACACGAATCGATCATATTCAGCGGTAAGAAGCGCAGTGCAAAGATGGAACCGTCCGGCGCCGGCACAGTCTACCATTCAGGCGGCAACGGCCGACGCCGGCCGCCGCGCCGCTCCGGCAAGATGTTTGACTTAACACCGCTATTACTAGAAAAGTTGTGGACCGATTTACCTATTGCTTGCACAGGAGGATTTGCAATTCAATTCTGGACAGATGCTGAAAGTTTGACGTTAATATAATAGTTATGGCGTGAGTTATTGGCGAAAAACAGGTGGGGTTGGCGAAATCCGCCCCTTCCATCGCCCGTGCTACGTTGCACTACTTGTTGCTATATCATCCAAAGTTATCGTTGGCCCACTCTAATTTTCTCAGCACGTATGCCTTACGTGTGGTGGAAGATAATGTCCAAATTTGAGCAAAATCGAAGGGTACCCATTTTTCACAAATTAGATTTTAAGAAATTAATTCAAAATAAAATAAATTCAAAATCACCAAAAAATGTTAAAATTACCAAATTTAACTAGCATAACTCCTCGTGTTCACGTTTCCGTTTGATTGAAATTAATAGCTTCAAAAATGTTGAAGCTATAGATCTTTCAAGATTGCAATACACGTCCAATTCTGCTAAAAAAGCAGAAGTTTAGCGGCTTGTATCTCTGTAGCCCGAGGGCATATGACAAAATCCTTTGACCCTCAGAGGTTTCACCCAATTGCCAACAAGTATACCAAGTTTGAACAAAATCGCAGAGGTGGCCGATTTTGGCTGTCCCGGTTGACATGGAATGCCCCTAAAGCAGCGAACTGTGTAGTCACACACCTACCCCCATGACGGCTTTACACCTTGTCTTCACATTGATCATGGCTGCTGGTATGCTTTCTGAATCTCAACATCATCTTAAAAGGGTGGTTAAAAATGAAAGTATTTCTTAATAACCAGATTACTAGCTTTCCAGCATATTCCCACACGCTTCCCACTTTCAGACTCCATCCATGATTTAGAGACCACGGCGCGCAATTCATCACCAGCTCTAAACCTCAGACCGGTGAGGCTTTTCTCCAGTGGGAGTATCTGCGTTGGTCCCTCCGGTCGCAGCTGCTCCAGCGCAGCGGGCGCCGATTTCCACTGAAACCCACCCGACTCGTCTCTCCACGCACGCAAGGCGACCATAAAGCCTACCGCCACCCTAAGAGCAAACGCGAGTTCCTCTGGCGGTACAAAGCCGCTGGGAACCGAGTTAGCCGGCGGCGACATGCGTGACATTTGAATCACCCGGCCGGGCCGGGGCGGGCCGGTCGCTCATCTCTTGACAGCTCTCTCTATTGGAGCGGGGTCCCGGGGGCGCGGCTCAGATGTGCGCCAGCCCATCAGGGCACGTGTCAATATCGGCCGATGGCTGTTAAACATTCATAACACGTCCGGAGGTCGTCTGTGCGGCTGTCGCTCCCCATCGCTTTAATATTCATCTCCATCGGACCATCGGGGCCGGTGGAGTCGCCGTCCCCGGTGGACCAGCCCCTCCTCTGACGAGCCCGCCGCCGCGGCGTGGTGCGCGGCGGCGCAGCATCCGGCCGCCCCGACGGTCACACCGTCGGCACCGACAGCGGCCGCGCATTCGACGGCCGTCGGTCCCGGCGGCAGCGCGCGCCCGATCGACGCTCCCCGACCGGAGGTGTCTGCACCGCTCACTGGGAACGACTAGCGGGACAGAGAAGCGCGAGAGATAGTCGGCGGCGGCGAGTGATCGCCAAACAACCGGAAGAAGGCAGGAGGACAGCAGTTTATCAGGTGGGTCCCGCCACTGTCAACCTGATGAGCTGTGAACACTCTGCTCTCGTTTACACAGATGCATAGTGTTACAGCGAAATGATATATTTTTTACTTCAGTCCAGTCGAATCTATCGGGGTCTCAGCCACTAATCGTTCTTCAAAGTGCCCTAATTATGCAACAGCTTGCAACGGTGTTGTTTTAAGAAAGCTTAGCACAAGCTCTAACGGCAGAATAATTTTGCTGAGCCTCACCTTCACTCGTTTTCTTTCAACGTTCATTAAAGAAGCATAAGCATCGTTCAACGGTAATTGGAACTACATGCATGAAGCACGAAAATTGCGGGGGTCGGTTCCGTACATGGTGATACGTGAATACTTTGACATGATTACGAGCTCAATCACAATAACTGCAGTTACATTTCAGCAGTACATTACGTCCGCTGATATTGCGTTCCAGCCTGTTAGCCAGAAGTGCGAGCCGTTTCGTCTCACGTCACCTGAATATAGCCGGCAGCCATCTGTTGACTAGCTCACGTCGCCAAGTCATCAATATCCGTCGCAGTTCGGGGTTCGCCCGGTGCCAGCCCTCGTCCCGCGGGAGCAATCACTCACACTTCGGGGTCAGCTGGTACTTTATGCGCTATGAGCGATCTGACGACCAGTATCAAATAAGCAGAGTTCGGAGACATGGTGGTTTGGCGGCCTGGCGTGCGGGCCCAGCAAGACCCCATCCATTCGACACATCAAACGGGACGGGCGATGTATCATAGTGAATAGCTGAAAGATGAGAGCGTGCTTACGACATTTTTAGAATAAATAAAACCCATAAGCATGTTTTGAGAATTATTGAGAGCGTATCACCCAGAGAAAGCTCTGACAGGTTGCAGAAGCATCAACGACTTTGTAAAAATTTAAAATTTGTTGAAAACATGGCATGATTTCAAGACAAACTAACAAGTGTTACGAACATCAAGCAATTATGGTTAGAGCAGCAATGGGTCTCAGCAGCAGCTCTCGTCAACCACTTCGCTGGAATGCGAAGAAATTCCGGAGTGTTTGCGATACGTCTACGTTGAAATACGACCGTATAAAGCTCCAGAAAAAGTTTCTGGTCGAAAAAGCGAGAGAAAAGTTCGGCGCAGCCACATTTCACTTAAAAACGTTTACCGAGCTAATCCATTCCCAGAAGCTCTCAGCTAGAACTTGCAGATCACTTCTAGGCACTCTAGACTGCGTCCGCTGCAGGTTCCAGACTTGTCGAGTGGGTATTTAACAGCTTCTCTCACAGCTCGAGAAAGACGAGACGGATGCATTTACCGCTCGTGCCGAGCCACCACAATCAAGGCGCAACTAAAATCCCTCGGTAATTCTCGCCGAGCCCAGCTGCCAATAACATCTCGCCACTTTGGAAACCCTTTACACTCGGGAGCTAAATTACGCAACGATGCTCGGGCGAAGTTAGCAATAAGAGCCTCCTCAGACATTTCCCTAAGCCATCCAGGCGCTGCCTACACTCGAGTCACTCCTCCAGTGTTTGACCCCGTCCCGTTCCCCCGGCAGGTTTGGGCAGCGGGCCGCGTGAATGCGCGCCGACACGGGTCGGCCCGGTCAGCACGCCATGGCCTGCTGGGTGGAGGACGGTGGCGCCGGCGGAGCGCCGCATCACCTGCGCCGGCGCTCCTCGCAGCTGGAGGTGGAGCCACGCGTCGGCAGCCGGCCCGCGCGGCCCTCCTCGCCGCGGCCCATCCCGGCCGCGCGCCGCGTCGACACGTTTCCGCCCAACTCGTGCGCCAGCCGGTCGCCGTCGCCGTCACCATTCGACGAGGGCTCGCCGGCGGCGGCGGCGCGGCGCAACTCGCGCCACTCGCTGGCCGCGTCGCCGTGCCGCGCGGCGGCCGTGCTGCGCGACTGGCAGGAGGAGTTCGCGCTGCCCGAGTTCCGGCCGCGCTCCAGCTCCGTAGCGGTGCCGGCGCGGCGCGCCCAGCTCACGCGCGGCCACCGCGTGCCGGAGCGTCACGCCGGCTGGCTGGACCCGAGCACGGCGTCGGCGCCGCAGCGCCGCGCCGCCGCCCGCTCGCCAGACGTCGAGCCGGCGCGGGTGCGCTCGTTCGTCACCACATCCCGCGGCGTGGTATCGCGAGGGGACAGCACGCCACGCGACCTGGCGCCGCGTCACAGCACGCCGCCCACCACGCCGGCCTCCTCGCTGACCTCCAGCGGGCGCACATCGCCAGCCCTCAGTCAGTCACCGCCGACAGGCCCTCCGGCGCCGGCGAGCACACCCACCCCGCCGGCCATCCACCACGTGGTTCCTCTGGGCGGCGCCGGAGTCGGCAAGACGGCGCTGGTGCGTCAGTTCCTCTCCTCCGAGTACATGAACGGCTACGACACGGCCGGCGGCCTGGGCGGCGCCCCGGCTCTCACCGTGTACGTCGACGAGCGCGAGACTCGGCTGGTATTCGAGGAGCCGGCCGGCGCGCAGCTAGAGGAGCTGGCCGACACCGGCCCCGCCGGCGGACCCGTCTCCGCCTTCCTAGTCATCTACAGCGTCACAGACGCGGCCAGCTTCAGCGAGGCGGCCTCGCTGCTGCTGCGGCTCTACACCTGCGGCGCCATGTACCGGCACGTCGTTATACTGGTGGGGAACAAGGCCGACCTGGTGCGCGCCCGGGTCGTCTCCACGGCAGAGGGACGACACCTGGCCATGGCGCACGGCTGCAAGTTCATCGAGTGCTCCGGCGGCATGAATCACCGCGTCGATGAGCTGCTGGCCGGTTTGGCTTCGCAGCTGCGTCTGAGGGCCGACGGAGCGGGACGCGGCTGCCAGCGGCGCCGCGGGTCGCTCGGCTTTCTCGACAAGCTGCTCCACCGTCAGAGCCACTCAAAGTCGTGCCAGAATCTGTTCACGTAGACACGTCGCCGCCGTCGCGCCGCGAGTGTTCGTCGCTGAGCTCAACAAGACGCTCGCAGACGTCCCGTGACATTGTGATGAAGTTATGAATCGAGAACGATACGAACCGCGCCGCGCGGTGTGTTTACCCGTGTAGCTCATCGCCGTTCGTCGGCCGTCGCCGCCCGCCGTGTGCTCTGTCCCGTGACCGTCGTCCGCGTGGCTCGTGTACGCCCTGTTACTGCAGTATCGGCCGGCGGTATGGCGCCGCGTGCCGCCATCGGGTCGGTCCCGGCAACGGCCCACAACGCGGCGCTTATCAGAGGCAGTCGACCGCGAGCGCTGTCTGAGCACTGTATGTGTGCATGTGGGGAAATCGCAGCCGTATATATTGTTCGCGGAAAAGGGCGTCCGTATATATACTTTGTGAGAAGTCACGTCCGTATATATAAATATATTCTGCTAAGAAGTGTGTACTGATGGCTGCTTGGGGCGACGAAGAGCCAACTGATTACTGATTGAATGATCGCGACGGCTACCGATGGCAGGGGCGTGGGCGGGGAGCGCCGTCTGGGACCGGCCAACGGCAGAGTTGCTGCTCTATGGCCAAATCAGCCCTCATACAGACCACTAATGGCGCGGTGAAAGGCGATATTGCTCGATCTGCTGGGTGCCGCAGCCGGGGCTTTTACTGACGCCACACCACGCCGCAGCGCGCCACAATACGTCTCACTGCGCCACAGCGCGACACTGCACGTCGCCACCCACCGGCGGCGCCGTGACCGCCGCCGTCCCCGGAGACAGGGGACGATCACTCTGGCAGCGCCGGCCGCGTCCTTGGCACGGGGCTTCTGCGCCGCCACCGCCCTAATGACGCCTGATGAGAGCCGGCAGGAGTCGGACGCGCCGCGACCCAATCGAATCAGCCGCCGTGAGGTGACTGAGAGACGCGACACCGCCCACTCCCCGCCGGCACATCATTCTGCGGGTCAACAGCGGCCGATTTCCGGCTGTCTGACTCTGTTGACATTGCACATACACTGCCACTGGGTCCTGCTCGGAATGCCGGCCCGGTCTGGCACCGAAGACCGGCTGACTGATAATCATACAGAGGGTAAGCATACGCAGCGCCTCTGGGACCATCGTCCACACTTCTCTCCCTCTAGAGACATGGGCGAAGGTGGGTTTCCGCCACTTTGGCACCCGATTCCCCACGCCCGGCCTCCAATCGGGGCCGGTCAGTGGCCGGCCGGTCCGCCACAAAGCCGGCTGGTCGTCGGTACAATCAATAGAGGCCCGTGCCGAGCGGCGCAGCTATTTGACCGTAACGACGAGCAATCAGACGGCGTCAGTGGAAGCGGCGCGGCTGGCAACGGACACAATATCGCCGCCCGGCAGACAGCCCACATAACGGTCAGCACAGACAATACGAGAGACTCTACAGACAGCCCACATAACGGTCAGCAGAGACAATACGAGAGACTGTACAGACAGTCCACATAACGGTCAGCAGAGACAATACGGGAGACTACAGACAGCCCACATAACGGTCAGCAGAGACAATACGAGAGACTCTACAGACAGCCCATACAACGGTCAGCGGAGACGATACGAGAGACTGTACCGCCAGAGACCATACCGCGACCGGTACACAAACGGGGAGGGGGGGGGGGGGTGGGGGCATATGGCGGTCTGGAGAGACAATACATACACCTACCGGGAGCGACGATATGTCAACCAGGATTTGCTAGTTACCGCGAAAGGGAGACAATCAACTGATCGGGAGAGAGCATAGTCCGATCAGAAGAAGCAAATCGGCGGCGAGAAACAAAGAAAAAAACAGGTGAAAATACATCCATACGCAGCCAGGCATGACAATATCCCGATCAGTTTCCCCGATGTCACATCGGTGACTACTGACTATCCATTATCCAATTATCCAATCATTACAATCGATCATTATCAATCATGAGTGGATTACGCATCCACTCTGTACGACACTGGCCACGGGTCAGGTGTGTGCAAGTCCAGGAAGCGGAACAACCATCCGCTGACCTGCGAGCCACATCAGCCATCATTCCAACGGCCCAACGCTCGTTAGTCGACGCACAGCGCCGTGCTCTGTGTCACGTGATCACCCTCACCGCGCTGACTGTTCCCGGTCACGCAGTCACACATCACATCTGACATGTCACGTGGGTGGACTCATCCGGAAGATGAGCACCTCGACCGCAGAGGGACGCACTACGGGGACACCGCTCGATCACGCAGGACGGCAAAACTGCGGGAATCCCCCCTCTCTTTCTCTTACTGTCCGTCTTCCTAGGAAGCCACAGCGGGCTCACATTGGGACCGCACAGAGCTGAGCGTAACGATGTTCTCGGTACAACTCCCCTGCGTGTAGTCGTGTTATTACCCGGCACCATTAACCGATAACCACAGGTCGTTACAGTGGTGTCTCCCGGGGAGACGTTTGGAGGTCACTGGATTGGGTGAGACATGTCTTCTGCATTGGTAAGGTCACAGAAAGACGAGATAACAGAACGTAGCCCAGGCTCCTGAAAGGCCCCGTTACATTTCAATTTTCAACCGATATTTGCAGACACATCCCCAGCTGACCTCTGCTCCAAAGCAAGATCCATTGCTCCCTGAAAGCAGTCAAATGCATGTGATGAAATGTGACCTGGCGTCCTCAAAATGTGTCAGCTGGAAACGATGTGTGTTCCCGCAAACCCTCCCCTCCCATCCACCTGTGATTTGGGAACTATTGGATGAGTTACGGCAAGGTTTGTTGCGGACTTGATTGAGTTGGACCCAATTAGAGCGGCCAGGGAACACGGAAGTCATCATGAAGGGGGAGGGCGTAATTAGAAGTGGAAGTCCAAGTGGAGCTGACTCCCAGCCAATCCACCATCCCCGGCGGTATATCCCCCTCCCTCAGCCCAGCAGAGGGACACCCCGCCCGGTCTCCGGAGCCAGCGCCTCAAGCAAATCGAGCCATCCTATCTCCACCGAGTGACAGAGGCAACGGAAACAGCTCACCGGATCACACCAGCTCGGCAGTCGGCACATTTAAATCAGGGCCCGTCGCCACGCGCTGCGTAATAACAAATCCATCGGACGACGCCGAGATAAGGGGCGGCTAAATTTACAGGGCTGAGTCGGCACACACGCGTAGATAAAAGAGAGCCGACCGGGAGGAAACGTCCGAGATGAGAACGATAAACAATGGCCAAACTGCTGACGGTGCACGGTAAAAATTGTGGATGCTTAGCTTACATAAATGGCGAACGAGGAATAAACATTATACACGGACTAAATATCGACAAAACAGCAATAATAGTGTTGCCACCGCGGGGGTCTTTTGTCAAGATATAATGCAATTAAATCATATGATATCGGTTTGGAACTAATAATACCACTAATTTACGTAACTGGCAAAATAAAATGTTGAGAAAATTTAAGTAGATAAAGATAAAATATGTAAACCTTGACTTAAATGCAAGCAGTGAGCTACTAACAGCAGTACCTACATTTTGTCTCTCAGAATTCCTAAGTTAGGAATCAAGTAAGAACTGGCAGCCATGCCAGTCTGCCTCTGACGTAAGTGTCTTTTGGTGGGCCATATGGCGATATTCAACGAAAGGAATTATTCAGTCCTGAGACGCTAGATAATGTAGCAGCTTTAGAACGCATCCTCAGCATATCTCGCCACTCCGGGTCCCCGACCAACATCTACACAATCTCCGTATGGCGTCTCCAAATGGAAAAGCAGTCACGGCAAAACCTACACCGAACCGGTGGCAAACGACGCAGAACCGGCGACAAAACGCCGCCCAGCCAGGAGCCCAATCGGCGGAGGCTCGCAGGTCTGGTCCGAGTCGCCGCCCGGCTGGTATCGGTATCGAGCGGGTGATGCAATGGCACGCGCTATTTTGGCTCGGCGCCAGTCGTCCCCGACCCCCGTGACATGTCAGGTGTCCGCACGGTGACTTTCTGGGTGAGGCAGCCCAGACTGACGCTGGGCAATTGAACTCAGCGAGGTGACGACCGTCTGCACAGGATAACACGGTCCGACCGCACTGTGCGTGATCGACTGATGCAATATCAGTATCCGCGCAGTTGCATTAACCAATGACCATTACCAATCCGAACACAAACACAACTTCAGCCACATACGTCGCTGAACGCACCGAATGCATTGCAGACACCACTTTCCCACGTGGTGACCGTAAAAGGGCGACCAGAAACGAGTTTAAGGTCGTGAAATCGCCGCGGGCCATTTCGGTCACGGCGCGGCCAGGGTCAGGGCCGGGTCAAAGTTACGGCCGACCGCTCGGGTAGGTGATGTGATGGGCATTGGACGCCGATGGGAGCGCGACGAACGGCGCCGGGGCTCGGCCCAGTCAGAGGCTCTCGGAAAGTTCAATATTGACAGACGAGAATAGAGACGAGTTCTGAATCACGTTGGGAGTCCGCCATCACATTGTCAAACAGGGGGCTGATAGGGACAGCTCATAAGCTCATAACAGGCTGACAGCAATCTCATCATGCAAATCCAGCAGCTTTCCGTAATACCAGCATCGCAATATCACCCAGCACACCGGCACGGGAGACAATGCTTTTTTCGTCTCCCCATCTCCACCTCTTCCCAACTTCTGCAACTCTCTCTCTCTCTCTGCACCTATAGAAAATCTGTCCTCTAAAGACCGTCGAAAACTTTGGCCGAAAATTTGCGACTTAACTTTCCTCCTCAATAGAAGAAACCGGATCTTAACAAGCCACCGGCGTATCCGCAAAGCAAAGCCATTACATCAACTCGTCAGCACAATGCGAGCTGAAACCTATCACAAACTAGGACCTTCAATATGGATTCTGGAACTGCCGTCACTCGTCAGCAACAAGTTCACAATCCGTCAAAAGTACAGATGTACGAGTAATATAGTACCACTTGAAAGGTGATACGTTGCGCGAATATGGAACTTGCTTATTCATACCAATAAGTCCAGAGCCGATGACATTTGTTGTTGTGGAAAAACGGCTGGGGATGAGGCAAATGCTGCCGATGGGATGCGTGGCGGTCTTCCGCCAACTAAGGCCTGCAGCCTCAGTACCCCACGGCAAAACCGTCCATCTCTGGTCCACAGACACTTTTTTGGCGAGACATTAGCTATTTCTTGCACACCGCGGGCTGCCACACAAGTGTCATCATTTGTAGCTCGTGAATGCACATAAAACTCAAATTATCTTTTTATGTGGAAATTTTACGGCAAATTCGCCGACATTAGTCTTCCCTGAGCCATCCGGGGCGGCTGGGCGGAAGGAGCGCGACAGTAGACGGTGCGTTCGCTGGAGCGAGAAAATGCGCCGTTCAGTGGGCGGCGAATGAATACAAACTATCGGTCATGGCTGCTTCTGATAGCGATATCATTATCATCATCTTTTTATGTCAGCCTGTATCAAA